AACAGGTGAAAGAACTCGAGAACATCCACGTTTTATTAGACAAGATCAAATTGCAATAGCACGATTTGAATTATCTCAAGCAAGTCAAGTAATTTGTATGGAACCATTTAAACGTTTTCCTCAACTTGGTCGATTTATACTATGTGATGAAGGTCGAACAGTTGCATTTGGCAAAGTTCTTAAAATACTCGAGTAAAACTTTATTTATTTTTTGTATCTTTTTATTTCAATTAATAAAGTGATAATTATTTTTTATGTGACACAAGTAGAAAACAATTTTCAAATGAAACGATGCACCTACCTATACGATAAGTAGTCGTTTATTTGATGCATTTTATCGGTTGAAATGACGTGGCTTCTTGTTTTTTTTGCATTGTCATGCGATTACTCTTTTCTTTCATATTAGATAAAAACATCATATATCATAGTGGTGGTTGTAAAAAAAATATTTTTTTTATTTCACTTTGGTGTAATAATGACACAGCAGGTTTCTTGTTTCAATTCAGCTCAAAGCGATGCTAATTTTGCGTTATCTTGTGAAAATGTTCTTTCTAAACTAATTCGTCCGAATCAATCAATAATTGATCAGATTCTTAAACATGACTCTCCTGATAAAGCAAATATTGTTTTACCTGATGGACAAAAGTTTGTATGGTATTTTGCTATTGGTAGTATGATAAATCCTATTTCACTTTATCTTCGTGATATAATACCATTGATATCCTATCCAGCAAAATGTCCGGATCATAAAATTCTTTTTCGAGCACCAAATGGAATGGCTGATATTGAAGCTTGTCCTGAAGCTGAATTTCACGGAGTTGTTCATCTTCTCTCTGGCGAACAAATGTGTCGTTTAGATGCAATGGAAGCGATCTATCATCGAATTGTTGTTAATTCAATTAATTATCAAGAACAAAATCATCTTGTTTATGTGTATGAAATGAATATAGAAAATCAACCTACATCTTTTCCAAGTGAACGTTATTTAGATATTATAATAAAAGGTTGTGAATATTATAAAGTTCAATCAGCATATATAAATCGATTAAAATATGAACAAGCAGTAATACCTCGAAAACAACCTCATGCCTTTCAATCATTTACAGATATTCCTGAGGATATATTCTATTCTGTAGAAGAACTTATACGACATGATGGAAATGATCCTGCACTACCATTATGGTTATGTATTAATGGAAAAATCTTAGAATATAGTGGATTACCACCAGATAATCATCCTGAATACGAACTTCAAAAACGAACTTATGCATTTCTCAAAACAAGACTTGGTGGACGCGAAGCAACGCATGTTATGGCTAGAGTTATGTATGAGCCGCTGTATGTAATATCATCAAATAAGAATGATTTATGTGTACAACATCAAGCAGCGATTGAAGATGAACTTCATCGTAGAATTAATGATGATCAATATAAAAAGTATTGGAAACCAATAGGACGTCTTCGTGTATCAAATCGTTCATTATAGGCTTGAATATTTTTATTTTGAATAAATTGTCATTAATCACCAAATATAGTGTATTAATGTCTATTTCTTTAAGTGCTACCTAGAAAGAAAAAGTATTTCGAGTGTCATCTTTCAAAAACAAGTGAGCTTGAGAAAAGAATAACCAGATACTATACGTTTTTAGGATTGATATATCCTAGATTTGCAACGAAATCAAAAGCCAGAGACGAATTAAACTGAATGATGGGCAACACAATATCATAAAGTATTGCATTATAATGTACAGAAGTAGACAAAACCTAATAGTTGACTACTGATTACTGTTGAACTGTGATTAAGATGATAAACGAGTTCAATAAAATTACTTGTCAATGTCCCAAAATCTTTATCTTTGGAAGTATTTAGTTTCTCATAATAGGAAGCAAGACAGCTATGTGCTTGTTTATAATTGATGGCTGATTAAAATTTTGATAACAGTTATATGAATTTACTTGTATAATTCCGATTGAATATGGAAACTTAGCATCGTTCAAGAAATTCATCTTTCATCACATTACCAGCAGCGTTCAGAATCTGAATTCTTTGAACCTTTCTAAATATCCCTCCGCATAATTTATCAACAAATGGAAAGAATCAGACTGATGAAAGGTATCTAGCTCAATGAGAGAATGAAAGCGAGAATATCAATTAGAACGGAGAATCAGCTCGAGACAAGGCCTTACATTACAGAACTATGGCTCTCTTTTGCTTTAGTAAAAACGTATTTTTTGTTATCAATATATAAATTCGGTATTCCGAATAAACTAGTGATGCATACAGAGGAAGAGAACAGGAGGTTGAGCTTCCTTCTAGAAAGCTCTAAATCTCCTCGAAAAGCTTGAGCTTTCTTTAAGAAATGTTTTGAGCCCCAGCCTCCTTGCGCTGCAATTGGATGAAGACCAATCCTCTTCACCGTCCTTCAAGAAATTTTTTTATGATTCGGTGACTGAAATAAATTCGGTAAAATACAAAGAAGATGCGGTGCTCTCTCACATCTTCATGAGGCGAAACTCTGAAAGGCTAACTCTTAATCTACTTCCTTCCCAATTCCACTTCGTTCGGTACTTTGGTTTGTTTAACGCCTTTCGTGTGTAACATGTATTGCAGCGATATCTACGATGTTCTGCGAAAGAATCTTGTGAACAGATTACTGTATACAAGTAAAAAATACATTCATCGCGTATATGTCTACATTTTCCTCATGCACTCGAATGTACTCTTTCACATAAGCGAAGCTGTCAATCAAGATAATCGGTCACACTTATACGCTTTGTTATCGTTTATATGTATGTACGCTTGTGTTCAGTTGTAATCTTTGTCTACGGAAATCGTTAGTCTACTTTCCTAATTTTATACTAATTGGTTTACTATGGCTGATCAACGTCCTTTAAGAGAAACAAACACACCTCATGAGTATTACTCATATATTATGTATCAATTTGGACCACACAAAGTCGAGGCCGTTCTTGAATAAAGTCTTTTAAAGCAAGTTAGAGAGGAAAATCTTCGAGTTTTTACAACACTCATTTCACGTTTTAGTTGAAATTCCAAGAAATATAAAGATACATTTCAAGAATGGTCCTCCAATATAGAAAATTGTAAATACTCTTCCATTACTTCCAACCATCCACACATATTCTCATGTTACATTTTTGTAGTCTTGCGAAGAAAATAAATAGATATGAATAAAATGTGATTTTCAAAGCCAAATAGTTTATTTGTTTATGTATACAATTTGATTGTTGTTCATGATTTAGAACACGGCTCTGCGCGACAGGGGCCAGTTCAATCCCATATCATGGCATCCGCAACGGGCGTTTATCAAAAGACTTGTGTCCCATCGTATCTGTCTCATAGGCTAAGTAGCCACTTACATAAGTACTTCTTTATAAGAAAAGATGAATCTATTTTTTCATATCGATAGTTCTCTTGTCTAATTTATTATAGTTAACGAAAAAAAAAGTTTTACTTTATTCTGTAAGTAGTTCTGTGTTGTAGTCATTACAGAGCACAGCAAAATGGGTAATAATAAATGAATGAATAACCAAAAGGTGCAATTCTTTCTATTGTAATAGTTAGAAGTAGTGAATCGATTCAGATTTTATTAAAAACTGATAAAAAGTCTTCTCCAGATTCGTCGTCATCTCTTACTGTAATTTTAATCTGATCCATCTGATTTAAGGGTGAGTTTGGATGTAGGATTTTCATGTGAGAGTAGAGAATACCAACAGCTATCATAAAATTTTATTATTATGGTATTACCTGAAGAATGATCACATGTCACAGAAAACTAGATCGTTACTTTTACTGTTACGATATATAAAAAGAAAGTTTCCTCTTCTTTCCATATGAAACTGGAAATACCCTCGCCATAGGCATGTTTATCAAATCTGGATCTGACAAACACAAATAAATAAAGAAAAGTAAATAAAAAAAAACTTGTCTCGTATGAAATATGTTTTAAAAAAGTGATGGGACACTCGAAACTTTCGTTTTATAACTCATGTTCGAATATCATTCTCTTAGATTATGTTTTTGAATTTTGACAGTTAAAAATGAAATAAAATAAAAACTCCACATAAACTCAATATATGAGCATCAAAATATAATAGACAAGTTGTATTGATTTTTCTTCATTTATCTTTATTTTTCAAACATAAATTTTTCTATTATTTTTATCTTTATAAAGACAATGTAAAGATAAGTTTACATCAGTATTTCACCAAAACTATTAGATCACTCTGAGTGATATAACATTTTGTATAATTAGGGAATGAATAAATGAATTAATAAATTTTACATTTTTGAAAAACATTTGACAAATATGATATCTCGTCTCATCCTACGCGGACGCCTATTACTGATAGATGCTGTAGCATTGAATGCGATATAAAGAAAAGAATTGAGAGAACCAAATATATTGAACAACGAAAACAATCATTATACAATCTTTTTTTTTTTGTTTCTACTTTTTATTGTTCACTGGTTGTTCCGCTGAGAAGTGCTTACAACCGCGTTTAGACACATAAGTTATAGCAGGACAAAGTATATCAATACAGCAAAAAAAAGAAACAATAAGAAAAAGACAAAAAGCCATATGGGAAATGCCACCAGACGATCATCATACAAATCCATCAGTAAATCTGCGCCAAATATTTAGAGAGTGAACAGTCGGAAAACTTCGGCTTAAAATTTCCGCTCACTATTTTCTTTGAAAATGTATGTGAGTTCCATCAAAAGTATACATATGCGTTTTACCGGTAAAAACAGTGTACATGAACAAGTTCTTTAGCATTTTCCATTAGAAACATCGATCACATTAATTTCTCAGTTGTGACTGAAAACCTACCATCACTTCAAAATCCGATTTAACACATCAGTATCCTTTCTGCATCTCAGTAATCTTCCAAGATATTACCAACATTTTCCCACCGACTTTCAACAATTTTTGGTGCTGAGATACTGTAGTTACTCCTTGGTGAAGGGGCATAGAGAATGACGAAACTTTGCCACATTATTTATGAATCGAGTGATGAAGATTAAGCAAGAGTAAGATATTATTTCTATTTGAATCATTAAATAAAACCAGAACTCAACTGAACTTTGTAATTTCACTGTTTGTTTGTTCTAGAATCGTCAACATACTTCTGTAGGCATGACAGTTTTAACCCATCAAAACAACATCTTACGAGAGGAAAATATTACGTTGCGTCAACAATTAGAAACATTACAACAACAAACATATTTTGCTTCACAATTGGAAAACATTCTTTCTACTTTGGCACATACAAATAATGATTTGATGGCATAAGTATATGATTTGAGAGAAGAAAACAAACTTTTAAAAGAAGAAATCATCAGTTTCAAAAACGAAGAAAAACTTTAAGTAGAACATGAAAAATTATTTAAATTATGATGCATATAGTTTTTTCTCAGCCTCAATTATCTGTAATATGTAATTTCTGCTTTTCTTTTATTCCTGATATTAATTGTATTTCATAAAAGTTTTGTTCTCTTGTTTGAAATAAAGAATGTTGTGATTAGGAGCATACGATTGACACTTACAACAAGATGTTTAATCTTTTGGTCGCCTGCTATCTAGCAGTGCACAACGGATAAACAAATAAAAATTCTTCTGACTTTTTACAATGCAAGCCAAATAATCTATTTTGTCAGTAAGAAAATATTGATAACTATTGTTCAAATCACACTTCTTACGCCGTTTCTTTAATAATTGCTTCACGAAAACAATAACAGTTAAGAACGCCTTTCAAAAAACATAGAATGTGTTCTTAATGATTCCATTTTGGAACGCTTTCAACTTTTGTTGGAACGTCTTCTTTTCTTAAAAAAAGGGTTTTTAATTTTATGAAACGCGTTCATTCCCGTTCTTTGAAGCAAATATTTTTCACTGGGAAGAGATACATCAATTTCTTAAAGATCTATTGAATATGGAATCTATTCATTTTCTTGTTTCCTATCTCAAGTGACTGTCAAAAAAATCAAATCTTAATTTAACCTTTAGGTTTTAATAATGAATAGTGAGCGAAAAGGTAATTAAGATATTATTAGTGATTTTTATTTTACGAAGAGTTTTCGGAGGAACTATGAAGGGAATGTAAAGTACTTGAGAAGTGCCTCTCATTCTTTTTCTAATAGTTTTAGATATTTTCACCGATTTTTAGAAGAATAAAAGAATTCGATTTTTGATTTCTTAGTTCCTTGAATACTCTTCATCATATTAATGAATATTACAATAGAACTTTTGTACATGTGTAGAGTGTCTATACTTCTGATGGTTTCTCAAAGAATATTCCCAGTGAATTGATTGGCCAAAGAACGAGCATTAGAGCGGAGTTTGTTGTTTTATTATGCATAAAAATTTCTAATTCATATCTAGATGATACAAACGAAAAAAGTACTTTCAAAGATTTTTTATCCAGACATGAAGTTTAATTATTTTCTAGAACACTTCTACTTCTAATGTTTCTCATTGTTTCATTCTAATCTATCAAAATAGTCAGTAACTAAGGATAGATGTTGTAGTAATAGTACATGATAAATAGTTACGAAAATAACAATATTCATCAGCAATATAAAATTTTCATACAAATTTTGTTAATTATTTTATTTTGAAGTTTCCCAATCGATTATTACTTATTTGTTGTAAGTTTCCTTTCATGACTAGTGAAAAATTTAACATATTTTACACATAAATATCATTGATAGTGTTTCCAAAATGAAAATATAAACGTATTGTATCAGAATACTTTCTGATAACTTCGACACAATATGAAACGATTTCAATAAATAATCATAAGCGAAGAATTGATTAAGTTAATAGACGATAGAATATTATTTGACGTCTTAGCAAATATTTCCATTAATCAATCGATGATTGATTTAAGATGAGCAAAACAATCTTATCGATGTTATTCTTTTCTATCATATTGACAGATGTTTGTTGATCTTAATCGAGAATGATTCTCAAAGCAAAAAAAAAGGGTAATTAGTTCATATGAAAAGAATATTTTTCCTTGGTTTATTTTCTTTTCTCAGTAATTTAGCGTTTTTTTGATATGACCGATCAATTACATTTTGAAATTGAACCATTTTATTTGTTTATATTTTAACATAGATTGTAATGCAATTTCTTTATGAATATTCTCATTATTTTCAAGAAAGACTATTCAATTAAATGAATATGAAACTCATTGTAAAAATTTTCTAAAATAAGAATAGTTATTTTCAAACAATAATTCATTTTATTCGTAATTTAGAAGATAGAAAATCAATAAAGATATGTTGACTAAAGTTTATTATGTCGTATATCTTTTTTTTTCTTAGTAAAATATGTGAATCTTAGCTTAGTGATGTAAAACAAGAGAAACAGTAAAAGCAACGAGGATGTGGACCACTCTCTTATTGTTTATCCGTCTGTTTGAATTGTATAGTGATAAATCGATTATTTGTATATTAGTCGACCGTTATACATTGAAACATTAAAGAATAGATAGTGAAGAAAAAGAAAAGAAAAATCTTTCTTCTCTCTAATTCTCTCTCTCTCTACTAATATCTCTTCATATAAAAAGCAAGTGAATTGCATACATTCACATTTATAATCTTCTTTTACAAATTGTTATCATCTGATAAAACGCAACAATGGCCGTTGATCGATTAAATCGTAAATTATCTTTTGTTACAACATTTTTTGCATTTGTTGGTGTTATTCTTGGTGTTATTGCATTAGTTACAAATTACTGGACATCAACAAATGTTCGGTTAACAAATCAAACTGCAGAAATAGCAAATATAACAATACCTATAAATGAAACAGTTGGTCGCAAATGGAATGTAAGTTATTATTCATTGATATTGATTTAAAATAATTATTGTTTTTTATTAGGGTCTTCTCTATAAATGTTCAACATATGAAAATATTCCATGTGTATTTGATTTAATAGAAACAACATTTATACTTTGTTTAGTAGGTTTAATATTTTTATTCATTGGTGGTATATTTCTTTGTTGGGATATATTAAAAATAAGTGGTAGAAGATATATTATTCCAATGTTATTTTTTATTGCTTGTGTATTAATGACAGCTGGTATTTTTGAATATGGTTCATCATCATTATTGAATTCTCATTCATCACGAATAATGATTTCTGCTATTGTTTTTTCTTATACAGCTTTACCTATTGCTGCTTTTATTTCTGGTCGATATTCAACTTTTGATCATTTTGTTACTAATGTACATGTTAGTCATGGACAAAAATATGTACCAACTTCAACAAATGGAAATTAAGTTGTTTAACAAAAGACTTTATCATTTTCATGTAGTTGTTAGTCTTTATCGTTTTGTTTTTTTTTTTTTTTTGTGAAAAACTCATTGTCATTTAAGTCCTATGAAATTGAACACGAAAAATTTTCAAGTGTTAATGAAATAAATATTAAAAAACGAAATATTAGAATTTTGCTTGAAAATGTTAGAAAATTTAAATAATGAAAAATTCATTTCGAATCTATATGTTGTTTAAATATTAGAATAAATCAGCTTTAACAGTTCTGATTTTGAAAAGAAAAACTAGAGACCAAAAGATAAAGAATGTTGCCATCTTAAAGCCGTCAACACATTAGGAAGTACCTCTGAAAGTTGTCTTTTTTTTTAAATATAATATCTGCAACTTCGTTTCTCTATAATAATATCTAAGTTTAGTACAGGCAATATTTTTCTTCCGTCATTACAGCAACTTTATTTATTGAGGATATGTCATGAAGTCACATTAGAGCTCTTTTGCATCACAAATTTTTATTACAAAAGATTGCATTCATAGTTGAAGAAAATATAGCTTCAAGTATATATATATCGAGGTCTGGTCTACAAAAAATTCGTTCTGAGCGTAAGAACGCATTTATTTTTGGAAAAAGAACTAAAAATCATTTTTGCGAAACAGGCAAAAAAAACATTGACTGAATATTCAACTGCTGTTTTTCGTAGACAGCCGTATTCATTGATGTTAACTTGAGATTAATAGCTATGCTATAGTGGTACATTTTACTATGAATGTATTCCATTTATACTACTAAAGCCTCAAGTTAAGTGTTGTCAGAGGCAGAGCTTATTATTTAGAAAAGAGAATGCTTCATTTTATCGTAGGATCTTGTCTGGTTCTTTTATGACACAAGTGAAATAAACTTATTATGCTAAGGATGTATTACGCAAAAGTGAATTGAAATTAAGAATTATCGATAAGACCAAAAAAAAGTATGACTCTTTTTTCGAGACTCAATAAGAGACTTGCTTGTAACTTATGAACAATAAAACAAAACAGAAGACTCCCGGTCATATTCATTAAAATAATAATTAGACAAATATTTTTACAGGTTCAGTTATATTTGTTAAGACTGCTTTTTATTAATTATTGGTAACAGTGTTTTTTTTTTGAACAATCAAAAATAATTTGTAATTTCGTTTGTGTCCGTTCGATACTGTTTCATGTCATTTGAAAATTATGATAATTTATCATTAGTTTATGTTGGTCAATATTAATAGAACGTTCAAAACGAATCTTATTAAATTATCTTCTTTTTTTGCTGTAAATTCCACAGATGTTGTCGTAGACGTTATTCTATGTTGAATCGATACTGTTGTAAGAAGGCGATGAAACGTTTAGATTAATTTACTGAGTCGATGCCATTCTGTCAGTTCTATATTATTCGTTGACGTTCAGTTAGGCACAGCATGATGTTGCAAGTCGTTATCAGTTGTCCATATCAGATTTACTTCACAAAGACAATTATTTCCATCAATTGATTTAATATGTTCGATATGAGAGATAGAATGCATGAAGAAAAGAATCTCTTCTTGTGCTATTTGTTGATTGATATGACGAATGTTAGCGTAATATATTGAGAGATTAATGATCATCACGTAAAAGGATACTCGCTAGGTCAAATGTTGTAATAGTTTGATGAAAAAAATCAAAAAAAAAGATATATAGTGTTGTCACTGATTGATCAAAGTATTGTTGAGCCTGATCCTGAGGATGACACATGATAATAGAACGCGAATGTTCATGTCTAACATATTGCTTATTAAAAATTGAAGTAACTTGAAGGTGAAAGTTATATGAGAAGAAACATATTTTAATAATAAGATCGACCTTCATGATATGATGTCATGGTTTATTGAAGATCACTCTGTTCGATATATCATCAAATTGATAGATGATGAAAACATTTTCCTTCTAATCTGTCAATAGTTTAAAGTTCATCAGTATTGCCAACAAGGTTTTTTTTCGTACATATGTAATAAAGTCTATAATATGTAGTTGTTCAAAATCAATGATTGATCGAGACTTTGCTTTGAAATTTCACTATTCTAGTCGGTAAAACATATCGAGATCGAATTTGAATTAAATTCTTCTGTAATTTTATTTAGATAATTTTACAGATATGACTATTTGCACCAGAAAAGATGATAAACATCTTTTTTTTTATTCTCTAGTGTTGGCGATAAAATCAATAGACACACCGTTATCAGTGTTTTTATTCATTATATTAATGACTTTCCCTAATTGGATGTTGATATATGTCAGTTATTAATACTACTTTCATTAATATTCTCGTTCAGTCACAGCAGAAGAAAATTCATACTCTAGAATTTTACGTTCATATGCTTCACTAACACGACTGTGTTTATTTATTATTTTTTTCTTTTTGTACACAGGTATTGGAAATCAAATCGCTTCTATTTATGTAGGGCGCTGGCACCTTTTTTTTAAGGATGATTGTTTAATATTGTGATTCGTTTTTTTCTCTTGTTATTCAAACGTTCTATCCTGTGTCATTCCTAAACCAATAAAAATTTATTTTTGGCAGCAGATTAGTGAGTGAAATGGCAGACAGCCAAATTTCAATGTTATATGGTTATAAATGAATGAGCTAAATTCTAAAGAAAAATACTATATATTCGTCTTTTTGTTTTATATTTCATTCAAAAACTTTACTTTCGATCTAGTTGTTAACTCATATATAAATAAAAATTCAAAGTGTATTTATCTCATTTGTTGATTACGTGCAGAAGTACATGAATGAAACGAAAAGCGCATTTGCAACAAGTTACAATATCATACAGATAGCTCTAAATTCAAGAAGAGAACTATGCACATGCAATTTTAAAATCAATAAATAATAACTTCAGCGAAAAAATTTCAGTTAAACATATTCTGGATCCAGTCATATAGAATAGAATCTTATTGAAATGTACTATATTTAATATTTTGTTAACTTCAATATAGAAAATAGGAATCTTATGAAGAAGCAAAAACTAGACCGACAACTTTCTAATTAGTTTGTACTTTTAAGTATGTATATCATAGATTGATTTATTTTTTGTGTTGTTGGTTATTTTTACTTGGTTACAGAAATCAGACGTAAAAAAATTCGAAATAATTTTATCTGAAAAAGAAAAATCAGTTTTAAGATTGTAATGAGTCAAATAATTTTATTGAGAAATATTGAAATCATCATTCTTGTCAAAAATATTCGATCATAAAAAAGACAAATTTATTTAACATGGACATTTATTCATATAGTAAATTATTTGCACGTATCATGTTTCGTATGGTGTCATAAATTGATTCATCATACTTTTGCCATTCTATGCTATTCGATATGCATGAATGATCATGATATATGTTAAAAAAGATACATGAACTAATAATATTCATTCGTGTTGATTGAAACGTAATTCGTGACAGTACTTTTAAAAAAAATTAAAACTCTCAAAAACAAGAATTTACTAATAATTTAGAAAAAAGAAAAAACGAAATGTTCCGTAGACGTCGTTATTCACTTCAAAAATGTATTATTTTTGTTATATTACTAGTACTTATATTTACGATTTTTTTATCATTTTCTCCTCCATCATCTTTTCAATCAAAAGATATATTACATGTTACACAATTATCATTGATGAAAACTCCTTCAAAACAAATTATAAGGTAACTAATAAAATAAAAACAGAAAAAAAATGTACAATTATTTATATTGATAATTCTTGAATGAATGAAAATGATTGCAACATGGTTTGTTGATGACTTGTTCTGATAAAAATTTCAAAGATTATTAAAAGTGATAATTCTCAAGCAGTTTGAAATAGTTCGCAACATTTGATATTTTAAATTTATCTCCGCTGAACAAAATGAAAAAAAATCTTGAGTTTGTTTTTGAAAAGATGTGCCTTCAAAAGGTGTATAGAAGCTGAATCATCAACTTCTTAAAATAAAAAACCAAGTTGTCAAAACACTTTAGTTATGTTAAATACGATATAACATAGTACTGACATACGAGTTGTTTATTTTGAGTATCGAAAAATTATTATTAGACGAAATCAATAGGAATTTTTCTTTATACAGATTTCATTGTCAATTAGAAATTTTTCATCATTGAATTAAAATTTTAAAATATTTTTCTTATTATTATAGGCAAGATGATGTTCCGGATATATTTGAATTATCTCTATGGCGTCATATTCTTATTGGTGCTAAAGGTAATCAAACATTATGTGAAGTTCCTTCTCAATATCGTCCTATTGCAAATGCTTTTTGTCGAGCACAAAATAGAGATGATTGTCCTATGATTCCATGTACACTTATTTATCTTACTGATGAATTTATAACATATGTCGAATGTCTTCGAGGTGGAAAAGTAGCTATTGATGTAGAACCTGATTGGGTATGTCGAAAAAGTCCAGCTTTAGAATTATTTTCTAATCCTCGTCGAAAACCATCTGTATGTGCTGAAGCATATACAACAATAACTTCAGAATTATATGGTCAAGCATTAGCACCATATCGTGATGAAGAAACATCAAAATGGGGTTTAACATTGGAAGGTGAATCAATAGGATATTATCCTTCTATTGCTCATAAAAAACGACTTTTAGCATTGTTTGATATTACTATTGGGTATGATCGGCGATTTTTTGATCTTATTACGGATGTACATTTACCTGATTATGTAGATAAAATAACAAATAAAAATAAACAACGATTAACAGTAAAACAAGCTCTTAGAAAAAGATTTAGAGGTTTGTTTTATTTTTATTTTTCCAAAAATGAAATTCACTTAATTAATTTTATTCGTATAAAAGTGACAATCTCTCTAATTTAGAATACATCTTTGACTAATAAAACTCTTATTATTTATGACTACTTACGAGCAAATTTACATTTTTTTTGTAAACGTATCTAACCTACGTGTAAAAAGTCTTGGTACAAAAGTTGTGTTCGATTTTCGATCACTTATCGATTACAGGATAGACTCAAAAGTAGTCAACTCGAAAGAGAATTTCATGATCTTTCTAAATATATATTCTGATTTGAACTTGATTCATTAAGAGCAGATATTTGATAGAATCCAAAAACAACATCTGTACAGAATATTCCATGCAGTCTATTTTGGTTATAAATGCTTCAGTTCAAATTAAATGAAAAAGATTTTATACACTATTTTTCAGAATAAAGTTTGCTCTACCAAATGTTCAATTTATTTTGCTTCTAACATATCATTACAAACCATTTGAATATCTTGCATGTCAAACAGCACTATGGATAATAAACGATTATTTTGGAAAATGTCATTTCATGACAAGAGTAGCATTCCGAATAATATTTGTAACTACAATAATAGGAAGTAAAATTATCTCATAATACCTTTTAGCAAAATTATGAACGAGAGAAAAATTACATATTGCAAACAACATTTTTATTTATTCAGATATTTGCTTACAACTGACGAGTTAAGAATCAGAGGAAAATTCTAAAGATATATTTTAGAAAGACCATCGAATTCTGATTTTAACTGACTTTTTTAGATTCTTTTTGATTATATTTAAATGACCGAAAAATCAGCAAACATATTTATCATTACCTTTGAAACTAGTATTTTTATACAAACATCGTTTTCGATCCTCATCAAATATTTGCTCTTAATGAATCAAGTTCAAATCAAAATAAATTTCTGAATATATATTTAGAAAGATCATGAAGTTCTCTTCCGAGCTGACTATTTTTGTATCAAGATTTTTTTACACGTAGGTTAAATTAGATTTATTTAGTTAATCGTAGAAAAAATATTGAAATAAAATGATGTCTTCAAGATTGATATGGATGTAGAGAAGAATAGAATTCACGTTAGAGGTGGCCATAATTTCTATAAAAAAAAAATCATTTGATCTAATGCTATGTCCGATGTCATTCATAATTCGTTATATCAAAGTCATTTCATATAAGATCTCTTTATTTTACATATTTATTGTTTTAGGACGATCACCTATTTTATGGATAAATAGTAATTGTGATACTCCATCAAATCGTACTGCATATATGCTTGAATTAATGCGTTATGTTAGTGTTGATGTTCGTGGTAAATGTGGAAATCCATTATGGAATGAATCATTAGCTATAACTGATCCTAAACAATTGGCTACAGAAAAATTAAATCTTGTTAAACAATATCTTTTTACTGTTGCTATTGAAAATAGTTTAGAATATGATTATGTTACGGAGAAATTATGGCAACCATTAGCTGCTGGAAGTGTTCCACTTTATTTAGGTGCACCAAATGTTGATGAATGGCTTCCATGTTATAATTATTCATGTATTATTCATTTAAGAAATTTTACATCAATAAAAGATGTTGCTAATTTAATAAATCGTCTTGCAAATAATAAAACACTTTATGCTGAATATCATCAATGGAGAAATGAAGAAAATGTTCGATCAAGTTTTATTAAAATGATTAATTATTTTCAAGAAGCAAATCAACATTCAATTGAATGTCTTCTTTGTGATATGGTTTATCGACATGATCATGGAAGAATTAGACGAAAATTATTAGCAGCTAAAAATCCATTCAATGATACATTTCCTTCTTTAATTTAATTTTTATTTATATTTCATTAAGAAATAATAAGAGAATATTATTATTTAACTCGTTTTTTTTGCAAATTTTATATTTATACTTAATATGTTGTAAAGAAAATATTGATGATGACAAATAATCTTTCGATAATAGTAGAGAATGAATTTATAATTAAAATTATCAAGAATATATTTCATATTTCGAGAATAAATTTTTTGAACGTAAATTGAAATTAATTAAGAAAACTAATTGCTTATTCAGTAAATTAACAACGAGATAATTTAAACAAGTTATAAACAATAATATATATAAGTCTATGTTTCGAACGATATTCAGAATTTATGTGTAAACTTTGATACATGAATTTCATGATGTTATATATAAGCATATTTTATTTATAGAAGAATAAATCTCTGAACAGATATAACATTTTCATAAAAACCGCTCTAATTCTACTGTCATAATGAAATATCTGATGATATGGATGGCATTGAAAAATATTTTCTTTTTTTTCTCTAACCAATAGAATATCTTCATAATACTTCTAATCAACACATTTATGCATATGAAAAAAAACAAATATGAATAAATATAATTTGTAAGAATTATGTTCCAATAGATAAATTAATGTAAAGATTGATTAATAATAATAATAAATGTTCTATTATAATTAATATTGAATAAACAATGTCGGAATCTCATCGAGATCATAATAATAAATCGTCAAATACATCTTCAAGTAAAAATTATCGAAATAGTAAAGATGAAATTGAACGATATAGTCGAAAACGATCATATTTAGAAATGTAAAATATTCTTTTTTTGTTTTGTTCAATTTTAATTTTTATCTTTTAGAGAAAATATTGATGCAAAAGTTTATGTTGGTAATGTTTTAACTGAAAAAATTACTGATGATGAATTATTAAATTATTTTAAACCATTTGGAAAAATTGCAGGTTTTTAGATTTTTTTTTTTCATTTATGAATTTTTTTCAATTATTCTTGAGTTAAAATTTTAGATATACGAGTATTTAAAGATCATATATTCGTGCAATATAATCGTATTGATGATGCAAAAAAATTAATTAAAGAAGCACAAATACCTATGATACTCAAAGGAAAAAAACTTGGTAGAAAGAATATATTTTCAAATCATCGATAATTATATCTTTAATAAATTTAGATATTTTACCAGCAAGAGATATTAGGTCAACAAGTACAAAATCATCATCATCAACAGATCGATCATTAAAAAGGTAATTTTTGATTTTTTTTTTGTTATAAATAAAAAAAATTTGATTTTTAATTAAGAAGTCATGAAAGAACTTTTCATCAACATTTATCGAATTATGAATCATCTCGAAAAAGATTTTCAACATGTACAAGATCAAATTTTAAATCTGAACCGTAACTTAAAAGCGTTGTTGCTGTTTTTTTTTTTTTTGAAAAAAATAAAATAAAATTTAAAAGTTTTAGTGATCGAATTGGAACGGAAATCAATGAACGTATGGATATGTCAACTGATCTTTGTCGATCCAATAATGATTTAATATCTCGAAATAATCAATTACCTTATACAATTTTAACAGGACCTAAAAATTCAAATGATTTAGTTGATTGTCAAATAATTATTGTTAATACTCGACAAAGGTTTGTTAATTAAGAAAAAATAAAAGAAAATTTTATTTTGTTGTTTTTTATAGAGTTTATGCTGAAGAAATTGAATCTCGTCTTTGTTCTCATGGTCTTGTTACATCAATAATACTTCTTCGAGAAGATTATACTTTAACAGAAGCTATTGAGAATGCTGCTCATTTACAATGTTTATATGGAATTATTGCAATGCCTATGCATGAAGAACGACGTACAGCATCTTTTCATATTTTATATGGACAAACAGAAGGTGAGAATTCACTATTGTTATTAGAAAGTGATTTCTAACTCTTGAAAAGTAGTCAATAAGTAATGGATCATAAAAAATTTTCGGCATTGATTCTACGGATTATAACTGTGTGCTAACAGTGATAGAGTATCCGTATCTATAGCTTAAGCTTTGATAGTGACAATTTTCGATCTGTGTTATTGTTCGAGTATGTAATTGGGCATGAGGATGTACAAAAATTTGATCTGACACATCATTGATAGAAATCTATGCAGTGTTTTATCCAGACGGGTGCCCGGGGGGGGGGGGCCGCGCCCCCCCGAAACTTGCGATCATCGTACTAAAAACACGTGGCTTGCTCTCCCGAAAATAATTTTTCGCCCCCCCGAAATTCCAAATCGCCCCTCCGGAGAAAAAATCCTGGATAAAACACATACTAAGATTGATATTAACATTCTAAACTATCTCAAAAATAAAAACAAATATTATCATTTTAGAACATCGTAATTTAACATTGGACGATGGTATTCATATAATAATAACAAATTTTATTTCATATAAAGAACGTCTTCATAATGAAGAAATAAATTCCTATGATGAAAATAATGATTCAATTGATTATTCTAATATAAATTCATCTTATGAATATTCTCGTCAATCAAATAATCTTACACAAGATGAACTAACTCCACCAATATTAAATCTAGGTGATAGATTACCGTTATCAATGTTATTATGTCTTTTAGCTGATGGAAGACAATTAACATTAGAAGAAATAGATCGTGTACTTGTTTATTTACTTGAAAAAAAAGCTAAAATGTTAATATTACCTCCAGGTACATTACCACCATTACCTGCTCAATATGCAACATTGAACACATTTAAACATCAAACAGGTGCTTTGATTTTTCTTTTTGCTTTTTTTTTTTTTTATTTGAAATAATTTTTAAAGTCAGATACTCCCTAATAGATATAATAAGATATTGTTAATATTCATTCTGTAAGTATTTATATTCATCTAAGAAAAATATTTGACTATAATCAGTAATAAATTTGAGATCAGATTTGTATGTTGACAAGAGATATATATATTCTTATTAGAATAGATAATTAAGATAAAATATTTTATTATTTTTTTTTTCTACAAAAATATGTCAATCGTTTGGCATTAATTGAGATTTGATGAAAATCTCTATTGTATTTCTTCTGAGTTTATATGAATGAGACTTTGGATTTGTTGGTTCATTCATTTGTTCCATTGGTATGGATATCTTCTTTTCTAAAAAGGCTCTGGTATTGTGTCAGAGACAAGATCCGTTCCAATCTCAGATTCATCACTTGGAAAATCATCGAATTCTTCATCAGAAGTATCTTCATCGATTGCTGAACAAATTCGTCAAATACTATCAACAAATATAGTCAAATCAAATACTTCAAGTGGAGAAACAAATTCAAAATCCGTTATAACAAAATCTTCATTGGATAAATTACCCGATATTGTTAAAGTTGAAAATACAAATATTCCACAATCAAATAACAATGTTACAGAAGCAGCAAAAGAATATGTTCAACAGCAACAACAAAAAACACAATCTTCATTTTCACGTCCAAAAGTTGAAGCAGTACCCGTTGTATCATCTGCATATAATTATACGTCACCATCGGTAACAACAACTGGATCTTTGAATTCATTTGGTGTACCAAATTTTTCATCATATAATTCAGTAACATCATCATTACCGTTTAATTCTGCTTTAAAAGTACCAACATCATCAGTAACTGTTCCCAATTTTGTGTCTCAACCTTCTCAATATTTCTATCCAATTCCACCACCAAATGTTTTTCCATCTCCATTGAATTCAACAGTAGCTGATCCAACAGCTGGAATTTTTCAAGCGTATTCCCAATTTAATGTACAGCCGACAGCTAATCCTTCAATTGTTAGTCAACAAATAAATACACAACAACAACAACAACAACAAATTAGAAAATGAAATAAAAAGAATGTTTTTGTGAACTTGTTTGTTTTTTTTGTTTTGTTTTGTTTGTAAAGACGGTTTACCATTAGATAATAAACTGTAACATATGAAACGAACGTGACATAGACGAATTATCACTCATTTATCTTTGAATGCGTTCAATTTGTTTTAAGGACTAGATGAATATTAAATGATCGGAAAAAAGGTATATCTCTAGATAGTCAACCATCTATGAGTCGTTGAAACATGCAATAATGAGTTGAATAGTGATACTTCAAAGTGTAACATGCCACATCTTTCAATGTTATGATCGCTTTAGTTTTATTGTAAAGCAGACAAAAGTATAATGCTAAGTTTTTAACTTTATTATGTTGGTAATTATCATTCGTACTTCGTAACTTCTAGACAATATGTACTGATGCTTGATTAGCGAAATAGAAAACTTAGCACTACAGCCTGTTTTAGTAATAACAACGTTCAGCTTTTTCACTAACAGTATATGAAATTTTTGAAATCATAGGTATTATTATTAAGATAGTTAGTCATGCTGGTGGATTTAGTTTGTTATCCTCACAAATGAAATATCGTTTGTTTTGACAAATCTCCGATTTCAAAGGCAAAGTATTTGTTAGATTGAACTTTTTTGAATACAGAACTTTATTAATACGAACATAATTTGATCACTTCCTATTTGTTTTTTACGCAAATGATCAATTCGTTACAGAAACTTTGTTTCATGAGTTATGATGATATTGGTGTGTTAGACAAGAAGTAGAATTTATTTTACTGAAGAGTCTTAAAAATAAACAAATTGATTTCATAATAAACTACTATAAATATTTTCGAGCAATCTTCTAAAAAATAGAAGAATAAATAGTGATCAATAATTTCAAAAACTGAAACATCAAGTAAGCACAATCAACATAATGTCGAATGATTTGTTTCAATTAAAATAAAACCAACACAAATTTCTTTCTTCATTGGTAACTCAGGATCTGTCATACTTTTGCTTATTGAGTCTCAGTATAAATATCTAGCACTTCGACTAAATGATTTGTATTCAGCATTTTCTAAGTCGAAAACACTCTTACGAATCATGAATACCTACAACAAGATGGCAAAACCATCATATTCGAAAATTTTCACCATAGCCATGAAG